TAAATTGTCCTCAGCTGTCAATATCCACATCCACGGCCTCATATGTTCAAAAGTAGAACACTTTTTCGATCGAAAATAGGTTTATCTATGGGCTATGTCCTGTATGTCTACCCGCAATAGGCATATCAAGACATTCCTTACTCCTTATGCCACAGGTACTGTTTTCACTCCACTCACCAGCACTGTTGTGTCACGTCCGCTCCGAGTAAATTCATTTGCATCGCTTGGCTCTTGCTGCTGTATCATACTCACAGAATTCGTGGTTTATAGGTGCATACTTACTTCCACTAAGTAGCCACGTGCATCTAGATAACAATGCTTGTTCTTTTCGTAACGATTTTGTTGACAGTTAGTCTCCGCACAAGCATCGCAGCTCACCATCAGCGGCGTTTTACCTAGCCTTACTGCGTCTCCCTTGGGGCTGCATTCATCTCGATAAGACATGCCGCCCCTCCCCCTCCCCCACCCACCAGTCACCCTGGACGGCTGCGTCTGAGACATCCAGTCGCCGCCCCCACCCCCCCACCCCGTCCCGCTGCGCGCGCCGTGCGGCTGCGCGACCTGCCGTCGACGCGACGGTCGCGACGCTAGACAGCTGCTCGCTTCACTCGGACGGTGGGCCATTGTTCGGTCACGTACCGGCAGACAGAGCGCCCGCAGGCAGCCACAGGGGTCCTGCAGGGGTCACCGCAGGTCAAACTGGTGCCACTCTGACTGATGACACATGCCTGGCCGCATTATAAATATGGACACAAGTCACTGTTTGTAGTGTGATATAGACGAATACCTGTGCTACATCCCATTATATACTATCTTGGCGACGGCCGATGCTGACAAAGTTTTCGCCGGGTACGACGTTGTTTGGTTTGGTGTCTGGTGTGTTGACCTAGTGGGCACTCTCATAAGTATCCAATTCCACATCCACTCGCTTGAAATAATTAGAAAACAATCATCATGTGTTACAGAGTGCACATGCACGAACATCGTAATAAATTCACATATGTGACCTATGTTAGAATGAGCACAAAAAGCACGATGGCAGTTGCTCTCCGTCAATGAATGAGAGAGTAATTTACATCTGACACATGGCCATGTGAAAAATCATAATCGTAGGTCACCACTAATTTCGGACACGAGCAGCACTAGGGATAAACGCGTACCTACTAAGTAATGCATACCCTATGTGCGAATCTGTCTTGCTCAAGTGCCACATAAGGAATGGATGAACATTAGCGCCCATGGGGCGCTGTCTGATATTTATAGGTAAATAGCGGATGCATTGATTTTCTTGGTTCTGCATCTTAAGCATATCCATTATCCAGAACCCCTAGTATTAGCTAAAATTATTGTGCCGAAATATTGTATTGTCATAAAAAAGCATGTGACGTGGAAAAAGCCAGTGGCGCCAGAAACCCATCCAAAAGAAGTTTTTTATGTTTTACTTGCCGCATTTGGGAACATATAAAATAACGTTGTTGTTACCAAGTGTGCATCCGAGCCTATACGAAACGATTCCTGGAAAATCTAATAGGTATACGGTGGAATGAGATGCGCAAAAAAAACATTTTACTTTTAATTGCCAATTCATGTTGCTGAGCTTCAGCCAGTGCTGCCAAAGCTTATTTACGCTATTCAGATTGATCCCTCTTAGCGATGGGCTCGTTCTCGCGGGCTCGTCGAGCGCGAGAGGTATAGAGTGGTCAGTGTTCTCCTCCCACGGAGACAGAGTTCCGAGGTCGAGTCAAGATGGCCGGAGATGGAGAGGAGAGAGCGCATTGGCGGCCATCTGAGCTTCTTCCGACTCGGTTTCTCTCCACGCTTCCTCTCCATACATTTACACATTCTCCGGCGCTGAGCTGACAATTTATTGCTGCGTCTCTAAAGGCGATCGATAATTGGGACTGCGGAGCTCTGATTTATGTAGTCAGCCTCAACGTAAGTGAGGAGAAATGAATTTGGGTACATGCGTCATACACACACCTATCGCTTAGCTAAGTCATGTTTCCCTGACGTACGAGTAGTTCGTTGGGACGCTGAGATAAGAAGACGAAAAGCTTTGATAGTGTGATCACTGACATTCTGAAATTTATGTCTCTCATTGAGATAACTCAAAGAGAGTTGTGAGTTAAGGATTCATTTTTGCAATTTATGCAATTTATGCACTAATTGAGAGTCATGCATTGCTGATGGTTTAGGCCTTAGCCTTTAGGACGATTAGTTTTAGCCCTAAACGCCTCAGCCTGATTTCACCGGATTCGTATTGTTTACGATTTCGCGTCCGGGTCTTTTTTATTAGGTAGGTATTGGCTGAACAGCAGCAAAAAAAAAACTCCATTCGAGGGGTGCCACTCCCATTTTTTTTTCGCGATAACTCGGAACACGCCGGCGATAGAGAGCTGAAATCTAGCATAAATGATTCTCGCTTTAATCCAGATCTTTTAACACTAAACGCATTTTCAGGTCAGGTCAGGCCACTGACCTATGACGTCTTAAACAAACCTCTGCCCGGTCCTGAAATGTCGCAACTTCGCGACGCCCTCAATCATGCCAGAGGAGCTTTTACATGGGGAGATGAAACTTACAGGATCTAGTATCATCAAGAGATCTCATAGCTATTATATTTCGGATTTTCCTAAAGGTCACATGAGGTCAGATCTGTCGCATGACTTCACCATTTTATAAGTCAATGGAGGAGAAAATGGAAATTGTTATTTTTGCACCGGGAATGATCTAAAACTATCTCAGGAAGACGGAATCGTGATTTGATGCACTCCTTGCCTGGCCCGAAGCTTCACTTTTGCATTATTCACTTTGAGTGACGTCATTTATAAAGTCACTAAAGTCATATGACTTTTTCGTCAATAACTCCAGATCAAATTTAGCTAGCGAGTCGAGGAAGCTACCATTGGACTCGGGAGGACCTGGCCAATCAAACTACTCGTATATGCAATATTTCCTCCTTATACCAACTTCGTGACCTGATGGGCTTGACCTGCCCTTGACCCGAGGTCAACACCTTAAGTTGACCTCACCCTAACAAAAAGTATTCAATTCAAAGAGCCTGATGTAGACAAACACGGTGATGCCAAAATTGCGGCTCTGCGAGCAATTTTAGCTTTTAGTTATTTATTAAAAGTTGTTTATCAAAAACCGAACCCGTGCCTTGGGCAACTTTGCCTGACCTCAGAGGTCACCGGTTGAGCTGAGACCTTAAAGACCTTAAAGCCATTGTCACTGGCCTAGCCACAGTTTATATATTAACCCGGCAGTTGCTGGGGTATTTCGCCACCCACCGTTTGCTGGGGGGGGGGGCGTTAAACGCCCCCAGCCGATAACTCGAGAACCAATAGGCGCAGCGAAACGCACGAGGCGGCAAACGAAAGAACGCGACAAGACGCTTCAGATGAGTACTTTAAAATTGAATTTTGAGGTCACAGGTCGGGTCAAGGTCAGGTCAAACACCTGAAATCGGGATTGCAGTAGCATGGATTTCAGGACTTCGCAATGGGTGCCTCTCGTCATAAACTCTGTTAAAACGGTGCACAATCCATCATATAAGGCCTACAAGAGCGTCAGCTCCATGTAGGGGTCAATCAAGCATAGGTCAGGGTCAAGGTCAGGTCAACCGGGTAGGCACATATCCCCGAAAATCAAAACTGATATTCGCAGCCTGTGACAAATGTTTCATGGGTAATTTGGGGCGTAGAACACGATGGTTCCATTCATTTTATCATATGTGTACATGTTTGGCTCAAAAACCTCAATTTAAGAAATGCATGTATCATGGTCGTGAAGTAGTCACGAGAAATTGCCAAGATTCAGTTCAAGATTTTGGAAAATGCGGAACGATAATCAATAATCGAAGATAGCCATTTGATTGTTCATGGTATTGGTAGTCTAATGGCGTTGACGGCATGTCTGTATGTCTATTCTGTGATTTTATATGATTTTTTGAACATATGTCGTTTTTGGTCGAAAACTCAGAAATCATGACGTCACTAGAACCTCGATATCTCAAAAATTTTCCAAACGATTTTTTTGAAACTTTGTCACAATAAACTTCAATCAATTCCCTACAGGTACCCAAAATTTGGCGCGCCTGCGGCGCGCCGTTTTTATGCTATGGCCCGGCGAAAAAAGTGGGGGCGTTTAACGCCCCCCCCAGCAACTCGCGGGTTAAGATCATAATCACAGGAATAGGACGCCGATACGAGTTAAATGATTTTATGTGTACATATTTGCATGCTAACTGGTAGTTTATTATTTTAGCAGTCATGTGAATGGTGACAGTGTAAATATTAGCCCGTCTCTCTCAAGGCTCATGCTGAAGCAATTCGTTTCTGAGCCATTGGCCTCGGTAGAGTCTCCACTGGTTTCCGGTCGTTGCTCTTTGCTGCGTCGTTATCCTCAAAACGTCATTTTCCAGGAATTAAAATATGCATATATTAGCGGTTATCGCCCACAAGTCGCGGTTTCCGATGGTAGGTCTCATAGACTTCGGACTAAACTATTCATTTTTAGTACATAATACGTAGGCATGTAATTAAGTGAAAGAGGCAAAAGCCATAGACTTAGTACAGGTCGATGACATCTCACACAATGTCAAAGGTTGTTAGAAGTTTTATTGAGATTTCCTTATTAATATCCCGACGGAACAGACAAATTATCTGCCGCCCACATTCATATGATGATCGATGTAATGCATGCAATTTATCTAGCTCATGTAATCGAACCACATTTGGGCATGTCAGTTTCCGTTATTTGAGAGTGGAATGTAAAAAGCACTTAAGCACAGTTTCTGAGCTTGTCAATAATCCCTCAGGTAATCAATCGGCTAGGCTAACTGTTGTCTGCAAGATATCCCATCGCATTCTATCCACCCAATTTACTGATATCCCATAGCAATAATATTTTTGCACATGAGCTTATATCAAGTGCGTGGTTGAATGCGCATAATCGTAAAAAAAAATAATTATGCAAATAAAGAAACTGATCGATGGTACTACGGAGGCATTGGAGATCAAAACACACAAACCGCCAAATTATTTAGTCAGGAATGGGAGGACATGGAACTCACTTACATCTGATCTACAAGAGTCATTGGCTACTCGAACGCAGCAGGCTCCGTTAGGATCAGCCAATGCTAAATTTATATAAAGTGGTACCAAAACATATGTAGTCGTCTTGCTGTCTCACATTGTATTTGACTTGCAGTGTCCCTATTCCCTAAGCGACATGTGCATTGTCCAGTGTGCATTGTGCAATGAGCTCAGCATACATATGACGCGACGGGCGACAACGAACTTGCACAAAGCATCGAAAGCACTGTCCCCGCAATGCATACACTGGAATATTTATTATATAGGTGCATTGGAAACTATAATAGCGCTACTCAGTACGCATATATGAACGATCACGAAACCGTGGCTGTCTGCATCGCCGATAGACAATATATACATAGATGCACCCAGCTGACATACATGCTTTTGTATAAATTCTGAGCTCCGTGATTAGCCCAGAATTTCGCGTCGATATTCGTGATAAATAAATATGCAAACATGAAACAGGAACGCAAATAGTTAAAGAAGAAATAAATGATATATAAAACATGGGTCCTTATGCTCTCCAAGCCCTTTCCAAAAGTAGCCGGACCCTGCAACTTTACGGACGTATTTTCATTTCAACACTTTTGAGGGAGTAGTGGTAGCCTCTCCACGCCTGCCAAACGATTCCTCTCCACTCCGTATCATTAAGTTCTCCCGATAGGTACACTCCATTCAAATTTGCCTGGTAACAATGTTTAAACCACCAGCCACTCTCACGGGCTTGCGCGCAGTTTTTACCGGAGTCACTGTCCTGGTCTTTGTCCCCAGTCGTGAACTTCTGTCTGAAGTGATAATCCATGTTGTCTCCAGCGTTGCCTGTGTAGTTTCCACCCGTTACTCGGTATCCGTCAAACTCTGACGAAATTCTAAAGTCCTCATACCGTGCGTATCTCTTCTCCTCGTCAAAATCTTCCAGATCGACGCGCAGATCATATCGCCTTCCCATCGTCCCTGTCACCAGCCACAGTTTCTCTAGCCCCCACCAGAACTCTCCTGATAGGTCTCCGAAGCCGTCCTTGTACTCGGTCCAGTTCCGATAGAAGTCCTCCCTGGGCAGAATGTCTGCGCGTCGCTGAAATACGGTCCAGCCCCCTCCGTCCGTCTCCATATCACAAAATGCCTCCACCGGGTCCGAGCGGCAGCATCCGAGACGCAGAGTGTAGACCCCGCTGGGGGAGCCGCTTGGCAGTTCGCTGCAGTCGTGTGGTCCGGTGGTGGCGTTCTGCTGTGCCGCTGCCAGCTTGGCCACTCGTGTGCCGAACAACTCCAGTCGGGAGGTAACCGAGTCCAGCGAAGTGTCAAGTTCAGACTGCAGATTTCTGAGGTGGCTGTTGGACGAATTTAGCTGAGAACCAAGCTCAGTCTGGATTGAGACGAGTTGAGACTTCACTGGCTGAAGCTGAGACTCCAGCGCCTTTTGCATAGAATCAAGTCGAGAATTGATGGACATATATTGAGACTCTATAGCGTCTTGAATGGTATCAAGCCGAGCATTGACGGGTTGGGGTTTAGTCTCCAAAGCCTTCTGCATTGAATCAAGCCGAGCATTGACGGGTGAAAATTGAGACTCCATAGCCTCCTGAGAGGAGTTAAGCCGGGCATTGACGGTCTGAATTTGAGACTCTAAGGCCTCCTGGATAGAATGAAGCCGAGTATTATCTGATTTAGATTGAGAGTCAAATGCAACTTGAATTGTATCAAGTCGAGCATTGGCCGATTCTGCCTGAGTGACAAGGGCAGACCGCATAGAGTCCAGCTGAGAGAAAGATTGGGCACTAATGGTGTCCAGCCTTACGTTGAGCTGGTCCAGTCGCGAGTTGAAGGTATCCTGCTGCTCACTCAGTCGTAAGTTCAGCTGGTCAGTGCGGGCGTCCTGGCTGCTAAGCCTGCTCAAGATGTCGCTCATCAGCTCGCGCTGGCTGCGGAGCTCGGCGGAGATGGGGTCCACAGTCTCTCTCACTGCCCGATTGACGAGCGCCAGCAGATCATCCAGCGCGTCTCTGGTGCCAGCACCGGAGTCGCTGTCGGCTAGTGCGCACCGGGAGACCGCACAGAGTAGCGCCAGCAGGCAGACGGAGCTGCCGAGGGGTCGGACGGCCATGCTGGACGGAATAGCCGGCAGTAAGTGGGCCGGGGTGAGCGTTCGCCTCCGAGTCGAGGAGGTAACTGCCAACCGGCGGCTGGGCCGGGTCGGAGAACACCTCCCCCCGGCCTCCCGGTATGTGGTCCCTCGGCCCTGGCATGTTGGAGGGGCTCCGTTGAGTGGTCTGCTCTTGATATGTTTACATTTTCAACGGCTGCAGCACGGGAAAATACCAGAATGTACCAGACCATTCAGCTAACGACTGGCCAAGCTCTCCATCCAGCTTATTGATTGTCATCGACTCGTTTTATTTATAGCATATGTGTTTAGTTGGATTTAAAGCAGCCAGCGAGAATGACTAAACCAAAACTGTAGAACACCTACCTACTGTGAGCATATATTATCTCAAGCCCAAATTATTTCATAACATGTGCATCTCACCATCACTCTCTGGTATTTTCTTGGATACTTAGGCTACCCACTAAAGCCCAACCAAAACCTGTTATTGTTGCTTCTTTGTACCGGATTTGTGTAAGACTAGTCGACAGAAATGAGGCCCAGGCGCTACATAGGAAGCGGTCACCTCCGAAAGGGCTGCCGCTCGAGCTATTGTGACCACGGCTCGCCGACAGCTGATGGTCTATTCGTGGCGGCCGGGTCACGACGGTGGCAGCCGCCGGTCGGCGGCTCCATTTCGTAGAGCGGGTGGCGATTGAATGACATCGGACAGCATACCAGCGGTGCCGACGGTGCCGACGCTGCGACCGGTCCGGCCGCTCCGACCTGCAGTGACCAGCCCGTCAGCCAAGTCGAGTGTGTTTCCAGGCGGCGATAAGCTTCGTCAAAAATACAAATGATACCGTCCTTTTGTTCAGATGAAGTGTCCTGTTGTATTTAGTTTAAATTGTACTAGATTTTGTTATTATTCATTGTGATCCATAAAATGATTCTTACGATACATTTTGTGTTTGCTAGTAGCTTCCATAAGGTCTGCTGTCGTCAGCCGCCGTGGTTCAGAGTTCAGACTGCGGGACACACCTCTGATGGTCTGTATCTGTTCAGTTGCAGCTATGGTGCAGCTACCGATCGTCTGTGTGATGGTCTGTGTCTGTTCAGTTGCAGCTATCGCTATGGTGCAGCTACTAATTGCCTGTGACGGGCTGTGTCTGTTCATTTGCAGCTATGATACAGTTACCGATCGTCTGTGACGGGCTGTGTCTGTTCAGTTGCAGTGATGATGCAGCTTCCGATCGTCTGTGTGACGTGCGCGCTGCTCAGCCTGCTCGTGACGTCACGGGCGCTCTCAGTGGGCGCCGGCTGCCAGCTCGAGCAGCTCGAGCTGATGCCCAAGCGGACCAAGAAGTTGTGCACCAAGATCCTGGCGTTGCGCGAGGTTCAGCGCGCCATGGAGGGCTATCTAGGCGACGAGAGTGAGTTCCTGGGAGATGAGAGTGAGTGCCGGGGCGACGGGAGTGAGTTTCCACACGAACTCACCGTGGGTTTCTGGGTGACTAGCGTGAGTTGGGCTGCTTGTAAGGCTCAGGGCTAAAATCGGGACCTTGCCTGCATTAGGTTTTCAAGGGTTCGTTGTAAATCGATACTAAACAAGCGAGTAAATATGATAAGCGATTATGTTTTTTTTTTTACTTGCAAATGGTCTGTTTTAGTCTGAAAGATGCACGTAATTAGCTAAAACTCTGTACAATGAGCATGATGCCGATAAAAGGTTAAATCTCTCACATACAAGAAATGATTGCTCGAAGTGACACAAAAACCTTTCGCAAATTCCAACGTCACATTAATTGCTGCGCATCCGACAGCTTTTTCTTGGCACTGCACCTTGATTACGGTGTACTTTTGAGCTGTTTACACAGACAGCCTATCGAACTGACAGCCAATGTCAATTAAGGGCTACATTGCCGTGCGAGCTAAAAGAAACCAAGTGAAGGAGAATGTGAAATTGTGCTTATTGGCTCTAGCTTCATCGAAATGAGCAATTCTGTGGTTACAGTTTCTTCCAAGTTTCTATTAGACAAGGACATGTGGCTCTTGCACTCATTAAAGCAGACCTTTTTTTTTGGGGGGGGGGCAAAAAAGAAAAGAAAAAAGTCTAAATATTTGTTTATTTAATTTGGATTCCAGTCTTTTAGAATAAAAATGCAAACCTCTCGAATTTATGGCGGTGTCGGTTTTTCAAAGCCCTTTCTTTCGATTTGACATGCACCTGCAAAATATATGTATGTATAATATTGAGCAGAAACAATGGTAGGTAAGCACGAAAAACAAACCTTGCAGTGACATTAATGTCAATATTGCCCGAGTTGTGAGTGTGATCGTCAAGAAGACAGTATTTTGGTAATAAAATTCAACCGTAAACACCGTAGTCCGTCGTAAACATTCTAGCTTCAATAAAAATATCGAAATCCTTCATGATAAAAATAGAGGTAACACTGGCTACCAAAAGAATCCACAAAGCAGAGACATTTGTATCATTAGCTGACGCTGTCACAAAGTAATCTTGATGAAAAACAAATAAAAAAGCAAGGAAGTTGCCTCAATGCTGCTGTCTATGTAGACTGTCCGGTGTAACAGACGAAACCATCGCTTTTTACGCACTGCACAGTGTGTAGTGTGCACTCCCGTCCTAGCCATACATGCCGTTAATGAATAAAGGTGTCATATCTTGGATTGGTCAGGCTCTTTAGTTTTTATCTTAACAAAAATACAGCAGCAGCTCTTGTATGGAAACTTTCACCAATTGCTAGCAAACTTGTTCTCCCGGTGCTCGCATTAAGCATGCTACTGTGTGTTCACGGATGCCCCAGTGCAGCGACTGGCACCAGTCCCATGAGGTGACCTGTTTATTTACACGATGCTCACACCCCGTTTGTTCGCAGTGCGGGGCGAACTGGGCGTGAGTGACAACGGCGCCAAGCGGCAGGATGTCGACCACGTGTTCCTGAGGTTCGGCAGGGCCTGGCCGTAGCCGGCCGGCCCGGCGCCTTCTCCAGTGGCTGGGGAGGCTGTCCGTGCCGTCGGCGGCGGCGCGTCGCTCGCTCTCCGCCGTCGTGCCGTCCGCGGTGCCGTGTTGCTGCGATCCCCCAGTGCCGCGCAACACACCGTTGTCATCAACAGGCTCCGTGCGGCGCCCGGTGGTCAGTTTTGTTTGCGTTGTGATTTGTACCAACCAGTAAGCAGAGGCCGATGGCTCGTCTTGTCAGTTTGGCGAGCCAGTCACTAAGGCCTTAACGCCGCCTATTGAGTCCAAGGATCCAGCTCAGAGGGCTCAATATAACTAGGACAGGAACCTCTTGAGCGATTTTCAGGCTTGATATCTAGACACATTTCGATGAATTAGCATGGTTTATTTATAATTAATCGACATTTGTTTGCAGTCTTAAATAAGGGTCTTGGCCGATTCATTGGTATAACAGTGACAATTCAATATCATGTCATGTATTTGATGTTCTGTCATTCTGTCTTACGCTAAGCGACTTGAAACCGCTTTATGCATAGATTTTACAGTTTTGCTATACCGATAAAAGTGTGAGCCAAATGCTGAATTACGTGCGTACCTACATATTATAAAGGCTGTTCAACTTATGTTGTAACCTTGGTCGTCAAGGCTTAATGTGGCATAACTTTCATCATTTATGTTCTTTATTATTGTTTTGTATATTTCATATCTGTCATTGCGATACTAATGCAAGAAATGCAGAAATAAATCTGATTTGAATGATGGCGCACAAATGCGACTGCCTGCTGCCGGGGACATTTGTTTTATTTGAATCGCTTCATAGTCTTCGACATATACCTTATAACCTTATACCTTGACACACACACACTTTCTCTCTCTCTCTCTCTCTCTCTCTCTCTCTCTCTCTCTCTCTCTCTCTCTCTCTCTCTCTCTCTCTCTCTCTCTCTCTCTCTCTCTCTCTCTCTCTCTCTCTCTCTCTCTCTCTCTCTCTCTCTCTCTCTCTCTCTCTCTCTCTCTCTCTCTCTCTCTCTCTTGCTCTCTCTCATCCTCTGTCTCTCTCTCTTCTTCTGTCTCTCTCTCTCTTGCTCTCTCTCTCTCCTTGTCTGTCTGTCTGTCTGTCTGTATCTCTCTCTCTCTCTCTCTCCCTCTCTCTCTCCTCTGTCTCCTTATTTTCCTCTCTCTATCTCTATCCTTTTTTCTCCGTCTCTTCCCTATAAATATTGATACAATAAAGACAGTAACAAATACAATAAAGATAAAATAAAATACAAAGAAATAAATACAATAAAGACAGTAAATGAATAGCATATATATGTTATTTTCAAAGGGAAAAACTGGCTATCATGCTCGACAAGCAATGAAAATCAGGGAAGCATCTAGGTACGAGTACATAATAGATAAATCAAAAAATCAGGTAAGATGCCAACGATAAGCACCCACAGTAAATGCATCACCAAGACCAATTCTTAGATGCTGAAATAGAATTTAAGGGCACGGCGCGACACAAGAAAATTCGCTACTTAATATGTCATACTCCGTTCAATTTGCAATATCATAACACGATGCATGGTTAGCTAAAACAGAAGGAAGACATGTTGGTAGGTTAATTCATAAAGTCAGGCTTATTTGACAAAGGCATAATTTCTAAAGGACAGTAACCCTTACGTTATCATAGATTAATGGGGTCTAATAAATAATCACTGAGTTTGTGCATCACACACGTAACTATGTAGGCTTTCATGGGTGAAAGTCTCTATGGTTCTTACAAGAGGTAACCAAATCGGGCAAACCAAAATATTTAGAGACTGTGTCGCTCACAAGGCCGTTGGCTGCTGTGATTTTTTGCTTGCCGTCTGGCAGGCCGACCACTTCAGAAGTTGTTTTCTGGCCATTATATGCAGTCGATTGATTGATCGAATCTTCTTTTATCAGGATACGGTTACCAAAATATGTTCGGATATGTCTGCTATTTGCGGAAATTGCCATAAGTAAACGAATATACGAGGATATGTGGCATCTAGTTTTGTCCTCTTGTGCTTTGCTGCTCTACTGGCCCTGATCATTGTTATTTCCTCAGGCGCTTCCCGTCGTGCAGTTCTGGTACTGAGGCAGACATAATAGGCCGATGTGTCGAGACCTATAGAATAATGACAGCAAAATGCGTAGGTATGTGTACCAACATATTTTTCACTGATACAGACGCATTCAGGCCTTGGTGATAATATATTTCCGGTTTCTTCGCTAGTCCTTTAATTGTGTTTATAGCTTCGCTCACGTTTATCAGTTTTTAATCTTCCTCTTTCCCTCACCTAATTGCCTAAAAATGTTTTTCATCGTTTAATCGTGGTTGAGAAATACTGTGGTTCACATCTCTCATCCATGGTTTAATGTACAAGGCATGTACAAGGCAACTACCTAAGTTCTTACCTAGGACAAGTCAACAATGGGTTGCGTGCCTCCTTACCACTATTAGGATTATTTTGCAGTGTCACGCTTTTTATATCCGTCATTAATATCGTTTAATGCTTCGATCGCTTCTTCAAATATCCCAGATGCTGAATTTCATGGATTTACCTGTCGTCAAATCAGCTCTGTTGCCTGACGCGAGACTTTGTAACTAAGAGGACCAGTGCAGCATTGAAGTCTGTTTCAGCAGCCTAACTTAACGCCTGACCCATCACGACGTCTGACCAGCCGGCCTCATTAGTACGTCGTGAACCTGGAAATAAAATAATCGGTAAAAATGCAGCATGACTTTTTACAGCTAAATGATAATTGAGCCCAAGTATACATCGCATCTAACTTACAACTATGTATACAGAAGGATAAAAAAATATGGAGCAGAGCCTGGTGCCCAGTTTCTTTCGAGCCTTTTCCGCACCTGAACGTGGGCAGGCGTCCGCAACAGATGGAGGACTGTCTGGACGACATCTTCTACCTCCAGCGCCTTCATTCTGGAGAAGACCTTCAGCTGCTCGGCGGGTCGGCCGGCCATTTTGGCCAGGAACTGGGTCTCCACCAGGCCGGGACTCACCGACTGAAACGGCGCGCAGCCGCCTGTCAGCGCAGCGACAGACTGTGCCGCAGTACACGCACGCACGGCGGTACACTCTACCGTCTAGTGTGTGCATCTACCGAGCGAAGTGAGCCTGGTGCAGTACCTAATAGCTTAGGATTTAGGAATTCCTTTGGAGTTTCGGGATAAGACATTGAACTTAATGATAATCCTCAGATATGGCACCGTTCCGTGCTTCTATCCTCAGGATACTGAAATCCTTCTCCTCCACGCCACAACCTCCCTCCGGGCTGGACAGGCAACTTTATCTCATGCGGGCTGCTCCCTTGGAGCGGCACCGCTGCTCCTGAGGGAGCGCACCCCGTAGCCGGGTGCAGTGAGTGCCTTGGGGCTGGGTGGCCTGTCCTCTGGACGGGCTCAGCCCCGGCGACTCACTAGGGTGCCTGCCCAGACCAATGTCTCCCCCTAATTCCTATCATCCTTCCGGCTCTGCAATGGTCTTGTCGACCGAAAGGGCCTAACCCAACAAAACAAACAAACAAACAGATATGGCGCATGTTATTGTAAAACACATGAAAATAAATCGTAAAAAGTACAGGAACAGTTGCATACCTATCTGAAAATATTATCGCTTACAGCTGACTTACGCTAATGCGGCATCCTGGGAGAGTTTTTGCCAGTTCAAGCCGCATCGTCTCTGTGAGAGCTCTCACGGCATGCTTAGTAGCAGAGTAAAAATGAAACTTTGACGGCACCGGGTGCATATGGCCGGATTCGCTGTGAATTAAATTTGAACAAAGTTAAAAAGTTAGCTGACGTTTGAGCGACTTGTGGCGAATAAACTATGCAAGGGAGGATGCTTGTTTTTGTTCATTTCAAACAAACATTGCAGCACAGATAATTACAAATGTAGCAGTGCTTCGGTTCTACACGCTAGTGGGACCTTTTCATAAAAGACACAGAATATGCACAAAAAAAAAAATCCAGAAACAAACTATTCTGGACAATTATGAGACAGTGAATGATAATGAATATTTACTTGCACATCTAAAGTGCCTAGTACCTCACCTGTTGATATGAATGATGTAGCCATCTGATATGTTTGATTCCTTCATGCTCTCAACTGTCAGCTGAGTACATAAGCAAAGTGCAACGATATTTGTATCGAGCATAGTCCTCCACTCCTCCACTGTGCCATCTGAAAATGAGGATATAAACAAGACAGATATGCAATGAATACATTATCATTCTATGGCATTCCAGCTCGACGGCTTGAAAAAGACACGACCCACCTTAGCACCATCACTGTTTGTCTGTCAACCGTGTCATGCTGATTTTTAGCCCAAGCAATGCGCTACTGATGTAATATTACAAGTGAAGGTACATACCTGGAACTCACTTGCTTTGCCAACCGAAATAAGAATGGATGACTCCGTCCCTATGATTCTAACTGGCATATTTATTATTCCAGTTACGCTCTATATGTTGCATGTATCTGCATCTTGAAACGGAGCAGTATGCAATCATGCCAGGTACTTCGCGAACACATTTCAACCATGCACATACACGGGGCATGCAATATTCATGCGCATCAGTATACGCTCACTGAATCGTTATATTTCCTTCGACCAAAACAGGTCTCGACCAACCTGGCGTATGCGGCAATGACTACAGGCTATATGTGGCTGTATGCAAAGTTATGCATGTATACTGTTCAGGACCTGCCTCACGACTTGGTAGCTATTTTGACAATACCGAGAATAGTTGGAAGGGTACATCATAGGTCACCCGGAAATCATAACAGCAAGACGAGCTAGGTCCACACCAAAGATTGGGCACCTGATTGTCTGTTTTTTTTTCTCACCCGGTTTGGCGGCACTAGACATAGGTTTGCATTTGACCTTAAAAGAAAATTATGCTTTTTGTTTTTAAACTGGGCTGACAATTTATTTAATGGTGGACCAGTTGATAGTGGAGAACATTGTGCGTCTCTGTGTTATGATTGATTTCTTATAACTCTCAACTTATAACGTAGCCTTCGAGCTATGCTCGATTTTGTTGTAAAAGAATGTTTACCACCCAGTGAGACGGGGGCTGCGTTTACTTACCCAGCAGAGACGAATTAAAGGCGAGGCCAGCGTTGTTGATCAGAATATCGACAGCACCCCATTCAGCCAGCACGCGCTCGAAGAAATTGCGCACCTGCTGCTCCTCGGTGAGGTCACAGGTCACCGGCAGGAAGTGCTCTGAATCGGGACCGAGCGACTCCTTCAGCGTCTGCGTGCTCACCAGACAGACAATAGTCGGGAAGCTCGTCGTTAGATGATAGTTACACTGACAGTCAAATAGTAAGAGGATTGATCTGCGAGTGCGTACAGACAATAGTTAAAGGTGAGCGCAATGCCACTGGACAGAAAGGAGTGCTCATCGGACAAACAATGGTCAGAGGAGTGCTCACTGGGCAGACAATAGTCAGACGGTGCTCACTGGACAGACAATGGTCAGAGGAGTGCTCACTGCTCACCGGAGCAGACATTATATAGTCAGACGGTGCTCACTGGACAGGTAATAGTCAGAGGAGTGCTCATGGGCGTAGGAACGGCTGGAACATTGTGGGTGCATGGGTGCAGAAATCCAGCCATGGCCGGTGAAGCGGGGAGGGGGGGGGGGTAGGGAGCGACACCCGAGAGAAGGCTCGTTACGAGCTTTGAAGGTGTACAAACCATGTCGAAAAGGTACCGACCGATAAGTGCATTTGGAAGCATTGACCCTCACATGTGT